ATGGTTGTATGTTACTCTTTTCCTCTTCTTTTCCTTCTCAATCCTCATGAGATGTAAATAAACACCCGTCTGTCCTGCAAAAGTACAAAGGATGATTCTGGTGGCGAGGGTCACCTGCGGGACCCGGTCCTAACAAACTGGAGGCAGTGGTGAGATCATCCTAACCACCAAGCCCCAAAAATTGCACGAGATTGGGAGAACTCGTGAAATCGAAGTGGCACCGTCTGATTCCACAGACTAATCTGCAAGAAGGCTGTAGCCCTTTCCCCACAGGTTTTGCTGTGCTACTTATACACGAATCGTTCGTACAGAAGCTTACCTGGCTTACCGGCCTGGCCCCAAGCACACGGCAATAGAGGGTCAGTCAGTGAGGCGTCAGTTAGTGAAGTCTGTTGCTCAGGAATAGCAAAATTCGCTCAATCAAAAAATGAGTGTTTGATGGTGTAGTGCAATCAGTCGGACTGCTGAAAAGTATCAGTAGATGGCGCCGTGGGAGAGGTGACAAGTTTTGAAGAGGGCCACCAAGGTGACGTGATGGCATCCTATATCGGAGGGGTAGAAGGTGATCGTCATGCCGGTGAATATGAGAGCAGATTTTCACAGACCAGCGCAACAAGGCCCAGATATGAGGTGGCGCTCTTGGTGAACATATAATATGTTTTGATTACAAATACAATGTCTAAGTCCATGCTTGTTCTTTCTGAAGTCAACGATTGCCGCATTGCTGTTTCCGTAAACAATAAATAAAGTTTGAGCGAAGTGCCCTTGCATGGTGGTCGAACCGAACCAACACATGCTTAAGCTACGATAACTTTCGTCGTTCACCAGCGTCAACATGATTGAGTGCATCCAACGAGCGCCGATACGACAGCATGAAAGCTTGAGAACAAGAAGCGATGCATTAATTCGCACAATGTCTGAGCAGCTCATCAGTCTCGACATACGGCGGGGATCCATTCCTTCTGTCACTCATTCTTATAAAGCCTTGCGGTAAAGGAGTAAAACATTTGTTGCGGGCGAATTCGAGGCTCTAGGGTAGGGTGTTCAGCACCCTACCCTACAGCAGTTATCAGACATCCCTTGAAGTTAAAGCCACTACACGTACGAGGAACATTGCTATTTTCTAACGAAAATGCGAACAACGCGGTACCAAGCGTATAACAACGAAAATAACAATGGTGGTGGACTCCTTACTTTCCCAAGAGTGATGAGCAAGTTCGCCAACTGTGACGCTTCCGTTGGCATGCAAAAGACGAATAACTGGAGAGCTACATAAACACTCATTCAACAGGTGTGTCTCCAAACCATAAAAAATTGTTTACACTCTTTCCTCTTTTGCGCCACGCGCACCCCTGCCCGAAAACAGACACAGCGGACAAATGGTCGTGGAGTTTGGATAGGCGCAAGTGGGATCTAATGGGTTAATGGTTCGTCGAAGCCATCACATTTTATACTAAAAATCTCTTTTTCAAGCTCTCCATGTATACAATGTCTTCGGCTATATTCTCCAATCGACGGTCTTTGGCGATAGGTAGAGAGAACGTGGTCGTACACTTGTGAGTCATTCGGATGTATTCTTCCCTGTACGTGCAACGGTTTCGATGACACCTCAGACATATCAGTGAGTGGTGTTTTTGTTGTGGTGTTGATTCACGAACCGAACGCTGAATTTCTCAGCGAGCATTGCCATGCTTTCAGAATAAACGTTCTTTGGTAGCTGTTCTTCATGAGTTCATTGAATAGTGTTTGCTTTTCATTTTCACATAGGCAAGGGGGAACCCCCTGGGCTCCCCTTGCCTGTGTGCCTGGTACGTTTAAAATAGTGCTACACCACACATGCAACGGAGCACACAGCTGGAGATGCTTATTATGACAAGGTTGCTTGCCTTAACTCAAACTGGCACACTCTTCAATGGCCGCCATCTCATTTTCAATGATGCCGCTGAGGTCTTCTGATTTGGAGCAATTTTCGGAGCAGCAAACATTCAATTTTGGAGCACTTTAGAGCAGCAAAATTTTTCATTTGGAGCAGTAAAACTTTCTACTTTGAAACACTTTGAAGCAGCAAAATTTTCCATTTTGGAGCAATCTGGAGCCGCTAACTTGAAATCCTGGAAGAGAAGCAAGTTGAATTCACATTCAAGGACATTAAAAATTATTCTAAGGCTCTCGTGAAGAGCTAGAAATATTTAGATTCATTGCCAATTTCATGGAGCCAATCGTCCTAAAAGCACTCCCTATTTCAGTTGATGCAAGAACAATGGTGTCATGCTGTTTAGCATTCTGGAAAATCTTGTTCAGTGATTATATTTGTAGCAAATAAACAGAATTGATTAACTGATATTTGGGGTTTAACGTCCCAAAACCACCATATGATTATTAGAGACGCCGTAGTGGAGGGCCCCGGAAATTTTGACCACCTGGGGTTCTTTAACGTGCTCCCAAATCTGAGCACACAGGCCTACAGCATTTTCACCTCCATCAAAAATGCAACAAATAAACAGAATACTGGCTGCATAAAATTGTACTTCATGAAATAACAATATAAATACACCTATGTGGCTATTAGCAGATGTGCTAAACAAGTGCTGTGATGTACAACGCTAGACTCGCACAGGCCCAAGCGCATTTCCCTAAGATGACTTCAAAAATAAAAAAAGGTTCTTTTTCTTCACAACTGATTAGACTGCTGCGCGTAATGCGACGTCATTCAGCTAGTCTCAGAAAGCCGGCCTTCTGCAGCACTCATATCTGTGCAGTGAAACTACACAATATAACAAACATCATTTTCCTTTTGCAGCAATATTTTATGTGGCTAGAGCTTTCTGTCTATATTTTAAAAACCCCCTGCGGTGTCCTCTAAAAAGAAGTGCACAAAAAAAATCTCACAGGGTACCATATGCATATGCCTAAGGCAACACGAATGCATGATTCATCTTGTTTTTAATGGGATAGCAATTATATGGACATTCTCAACTGGTTTTTCCGTTGTTAGTGGTGTAGCCAAAACTTTAAGAAAAATTGGGGGTGGGCAGGGGGGGGTTGCACCTTGATCTGACGGGGGGGGGGGGGGGTCATTTTGCTCTATATATGCCATGGCGAAAAAATTCGGAGGGCACGTTCCTGATGTGCTCCCCCCCCCCCCCCCCTGGCTACGCCACTGGCCGCCATGTTTTGTGTAATGTCCCAATCGATATCATCCCCCAGTGCATCATATTTTACACACGAGTAAGAGCGCGTAAGCTAGGGCAAGACGAACGCGGCTAAAGCAAAGATAAGAAGAGCAGACCTATCTCCTTTGCACTGAGGGCAAATGCGATAGAATCACCCCGTATGCCAGGCCTCCCATTGATTGTTACTCAAGCAGAGAGGAACGTGCCCCCCGTGTCCAAGAAACAGGTAGGACCTAGAAACGTCATGGATAATGGCATAATGAGACGAACAGTCTCATTATGCCTCGAGATTGTGCGCGCCAGCTAATTCAAGCAACGCAGCAGCCACCCCTCCATCCCTTCCTTGAAAACGAAGCAATGAATGCGATGCTGTGATGTTCAATTCTTTTTCTAACTATCAGCTATTGACCCTGTAAAGCGAGAGAGACGATCGTGTAACAGGGCGAAGCCGCTTCACAGGCCTTCCGACACCAGAGCTCCCAGCGATATGTCCTCACTATAGCTGCGGGTATTAAAACCGAATTGTGGCTCTTCCAACTAGGAGGCATGCTTTTATAAATGAGATGATATTTAAAAAGAAAGCACGCGAGAGTTTTCATTTCGGACCATAGCAACCTTGAATTCGAAAGGGCAGGGGGTTTTTTAGGGACTTTCACCGCCACAGCGATTATGAACGTAGATGTGCTGGTGGAACAGCTCTTCTGTATGATGATCCATGGATAAAATGTGTTAGAGAAAAAGTGCCAACATGTTTCCATCATTTACATGTTCTTCTGCGGATGCGAAGCACGAAAAATTGCATTGCGATGTCCAGACATAGGCGCGACAGACATTCTGGCAGCACGGGTGCAGTTATTATTGAAAATCGCTTTATTACATGCCATGCAACTCTTCAAACAAGCTATCAGCAGCATTCCTAGAACGAACGACGTCCGCCGATAAATCACGGCCTTAGTTTCACTCTACCGATTGGACTGAACGTCAGGAACCCCTGCAGAGAGTGTGTTTCACCATTAAGCGAACTTGCAAAACAGAGTTGCGTCGGCACCATATAGCATAGTGGATTTTAGGACGCACGCGGGACCACTGTTTATTCAGCGTAATAAAATAGGCACTACATGATTGTGACTTTGGTGGCCCCGAGAACAAGGTGCTCATGTACTGACACCTCAGCGAGGCTATCGCCAATGATATACCATCCCAAATCAGACTTCGGCGCATTTTGGCACCATTTCTGTTGATATTAGGAGGATGGCGCAGTAAATCTCATTTGTCCTACTTTGGCGCAGTTGGTGCAAAAGTGCGATCACTGAGATATTTTTTTCTTTTTTGATGCTATCCATAAAGGCATTGCCGCAAATGTGCAAAATTTGGAATGATTGACTGACTGGTCTCTACTGCCAGAGACAGGCAGATTAATTTTTGCAGAACAATATGATGCCACCAAAATGGAGGTGCAGTTAAATTTCATGTGGTGAAACGTTATCGCAGTACACACTAATGGCCAAGCCACTATAGCGTAGTCATTGAATAGATTGATGCTAGGCTATGTTACGAGTGGGTGAGGAATTTGTTCCAACTAAGTTTTAACCATTAGATTATTTAAAGCAGGTTTTTTAAGTTGCAGCTCTCTTGTTAGCAGCACAGCACACAAAGTAGTCAGAACACACCTCAGACTGAAGGCGGCAAACCAGCGGCTAGCAGCTCAAATACTGCGGTATGTATTTGGTTTTGTTTTTTCACACAAGAAAAGATGGCAAACAGCACTTGTCGACGGATGGCATTCTTCAATTTGAATATTCACTGTTAAAGTGCCTAAAAGCTCACCTGAATTATTCCAGTCTCGTTGTTTGCCAGCATGATGGTGACAAAGCAAGTATTCGGTTGAATAGCAGAGATAACTTCTTCAGCAGACACACTACCAGTGACCTTGGAAACAGGAACAACTGTGAGGTCTGCACGTATCATTTAAAAATAGTCATTCTTAGTAAAGCAGGACAAAAAGGGGGCAATGTTTAGTTTCTGGCACATTCCACTACTAATATATTCATTTTTTTCTTGGCTTCCTTTTTACAGCGAATTCGACTTTTCTGTGCTGTAAATCGCACAAGCTGTCCAGATTCACTTTATTACTTGTCATTCCTTCATCCATTTCTATAATGGCCAGTGTCACCCAGGCTTTCACTAGATAGAAAACCACCTATGCACAGTTGTGGGGTGTTTGTCACTGACTATAGCTTTTGCACTAAAACACCCAGGAACAAGAGCCGTTCTCTTCACTCTCCCAGTGGCAGAGAGACGAGAGGACTGCTGTCACATTCGAAGAGAACTATGCGAAAAGTCTGTTTGTATAGCTACTACCCATACTCCTACCGATTCGATGACTATTGCACACAAAAGCACCTTACCTGAACACATATCATTGCAACAAATGTGCGCCCTACATCACTGCCTCATGATATGTTACGAGTAACTTATTTATTAATCTATATATGATGCAAAGAGCTCGGCGAGCATGATGGCGCTAGTTCCAAGGGCAGCAAGGTGTCAAAAGGCAGGGCATGCTCCCTGTCGTATAAAAGATAGAATGGCGAATAGCCGGCAGTGTCGTGACGCGACGAATCATATGCGAACGTCACATATGGCAAATGAATGTCTCAGTCCTCATGGTCAGCCGCTACATATTTAGAAAGCATGTCGGTTATGGTCCTGTGCAGGCACTCCGTAAGAACATTCGTTTGCGAATGGTATGATGTGGCAAACTTGTGCTTCACAGAGCAAGAGCGCAAGATTTCATAGACGACAGCTGAGAGGAAGGCCCGGCCCCGGTCAGTGAGGAGTTGGCGTCGTGGAGCTCCGTGTACTAAAATTATATCGTACACCAAGCATTCCGCCACATACCGTATTTACTCGCGTAATCCTCGCACTTGCATAATTCTCACAGCTCCCACATCGCCCAAGAAAAAATATGAATTTTTTTTCCTCGAGTAATTATCGCACCCCAGAAAACTGCCGCAATAATGTCGTCTGCTCATTCTAGCCATTGATGATGATAGCGCGCACCATCTCTTAAGCATCAAGTGTACTATTGCACGGAGATTCAATACAATCCAAGCCAAGCCGAAGTGGCCGGTGCGCATTGCGGCATGTTTTGTATGTTGTGTAGGTAATCTTGGCACGTTATGGGGCGATACTGAAGCCGCACGGCTGCTTCAAGTTGCAAGTGATAGATCATACACTAAACAACGGCAACAGGGCCGCGGGTAGGCCTTTCGGAGCCTACGAGTTTTGTGTTCGCTACTGGTGACGGCAGCTGAAAGCCACCAAGACGCGTTGGGCCTGCCGTGTGCCTAAAACCGGGATTGATGGTAAACTTTATTTCTTCAAAAGAAAACTGCGGACGATTTTGTTAAATAGCCATCAGCCCAATAGTGACGTCCTACGCTTACCTTTTGAGGGCTCCTGTTGAGCGCCGACCGCTACCGCAACGCCCACAAGCTTCGTGTATGATATTCTAATTCTCGACTATTTGATTCCACTTTTTGTGTCTCAAATAAATCTTGCCTTGTGTTGAACCTCTGCTTTTATTGTTGAGGTAAGTTCTAATTAGTACTTCTTAAAGCTTGCTGTAAGTTGCTGGTGTGAGAATCCCGATTCGCGGCCACTTCGTTTTCTTTTTCGCTCTCTGCATTTTCGTGAAAAGCTTTCCCCGCGTAGTTCTCGCACCCCCCAACTTTGCATCGATTTTCTGGCAAAAAAAGTGCGAGGATTATGCGAGTAAATACGGTAGTTTGCGCAACTTGTCAGAAGTGTTTGTGTGATAGCGTACCATGTCGCATAGTCAGTGGCGGCAGCAATCTATTTGTTGCCCGAGCTGGAGATTGGGAATGGGCCAAGCAGGACGAGGCCAACTCGAAAAAAAGGTTTGGTGGGGACGTCAATCGGCTGAAGGAATCCTGCTGATAGGGAAGATGGCTTTTCGCAGCGCTGGCAGGACTCACAAGCAGCGACGTAGCGTTGAACAGAAAGGGCGAGACCAGGACAAAAGAAACGACGACGTGCACGGTCGTATGTGCAAAAAACGCCCAAGTGACCCGCCAAAGGAGCGTCATGAAGTTGGTTGAGGACAGTCGCTCGAAGATGTGCTGGTATTTATTTACATTTATTTATTTATTTACATAGTTCCTGCAACGCCGTAGTGGCATTACTGCAGGGGGGTATACATAAGAAGTCATAGGAAACATTTCTGCGATAAGACGCCAAACATAGTGAAAAAATTCAATTATAACAACATAATATTTTAGTACAATATTGCACATGACAACAGGTACCAAAAGAGAAGTACATATGTCACAATTTCACAACGATGAGAAAAAAGCGCTGTTGTCACTCAAGTTCACTATACCTTCGGGAAGTTCATTCCAGTCTCTAATTGTTTTTAAAAAGAAGGAGTTGGCAAAAGTAGTGGTTTTGTACGCGTATTCTTGTATTTTATGTGAGTGTTGGCATCTTGTGGAACGATATGTTGGTGCTAGTAGGTATTCAGACTTATTAATTCCTGTTAGGTTATAATATATGCTATGCAGAAGTTTTAATCGAAGTTTCCGTCTTCTAGATTTTAGAGTTTCCCAGCCTAATATGGCCTTTATTTCTGACATACTAGCGAATGGGTCGTAGTTGTTGCTGACGAAACGGGCTGCCTGGTTTTGGACTTTTTCTATTGTTTTTGCAAGATACTTTTGAGCCGGGTCCCAGATAACACAAGCATATTCAAGTATAGACCTGACAAGAAGGAAGTAAAGAGTTTCTTTCACTTCTTTTGTTGCACAGTGAAAGTTTCTACGAATAAAAAACAACGTTCTACTAGCCTTTGAGATCATTTGGTCTATGTGTCTGTTCCAATGGAACGATTCTGTCAAGTAAATTCCTAAATATTTACACTCGGGCACCTTTTTGACTGCCTCGCCATTAATACTGTATGTGCACTGGATTTTTGAAATGTTCTTTGCAAAGCTGATGTGGTTGCACTTCGAGATATTTAAGCACATATTCCACGTGGAGCACCAATGTGTTACCGTGTTTAAGTCATCTTGCAATAATTCAGTGTCTGTGATTGAAGTAATGTGACGGTAGATGATGCAATCGTCTGCGAATAATTTTATGCAAGATTTTATGTTATATGCTATATCATTTATATAAACCAAAAATAACAGCGGACCTAGAACGCTACCTTGTGGCACGCCTGAAGTCACGTTTACGTATGAAGACGTTTTAGAATTTAAAACAACACACTGTTTACGACCACTTAAGTAATTCCGTAGCCAGGTTTGCAGCTTAGCATTAATATTCAGTGAAGCCAGTTTAATATCTAACAGATTATGTGGGACCGTATCAAATGCCTTGCGAAAATCGAGAAATAATGCATCAACAATGTTGTTACGGTCAAGCGCAGTCAGTACGTCATGCTGAAATTCAGTTAGTTGCGTGACGCATGAACGACCTTGCCGAAATCCATGCTGGGAGCGGGCAAAGAAATGAGTAGATTCGAGATATTTGAACAATGCGCTATAAATAACATGTTCTAATAATTTGCAACAGGTTGAAATTAAGGATATGGGACGGTAATTTTGTACATGTTTTTTGCTTCCTGCCTTATGTACAGGAACCACATTGGCTGTTTTCCAATCCCTTGGAATAACGCCGGTGTCTAGAGACAACTTGTACATTATGCATAAATATTGTGCAATAATAACGTGACACTTTTTAAGTACATGAGATGATATACCGTCAGGCCCTGTAGCCTTAGAGGTGTCCAGAGTACGCAGCAGACTATCCAAACCAGCGTAATCGATTTCAATTTCCGCCATTTCATTACCAATATTTTTTGAAGGTAGCATTGGAGAGCATTGGTAGCATTGGACGGTAGCATTGGATTGGTAGTATGACGGGGAGATCGAGGTTACGGCGATACAGGATCCCGTCTTTGAGCAGGACGACTTGTAGAGATGCGTCGTGAGGCATTGCCTCCAGCTTGTCAATGATGGCTCGCAAAGAAGCATCTCGGCGTTGTTCGTTGCCAAGGTTGAGTAACTGCGTCACAGACAGAACGTCTGGAAAGGTGTCAGCATGGGCGGCTTCTTTCACAGGGTAGCGGGATAAACAATCCGCATCTTGATGTAACTGGTCTGTTTTGTCCGTTACGGTGAATCTGTATTATTGTAAACGTAGGGCCTAACGAGCGAAGCGTCCTGTGGCATCTTTGAGTGAGGCCAGCCAGCAGAGCGCGTGGTGATTGGCGACTACACGAACGCGGGGGAAACTTGGCGACTGCCCACACAAGAGCAAGGCACTCACGCTCCGCCATTAAATAGTTGCGCTCGGCGGTAGATAGCAGTCGGCTTGCATAGGCTACATAACATGGTCATGTCCGCGTTGGTGTTGCAATAACATTGCTCCCATGCCATTCCCACTAGCGTCAGTGCGAACCTCGATTGAAGCTGATGGATCGAAATGAGCTAAAATCAGCAATGTTGTAAGCAGGGTCGTGAGCTGAGAAAAAGATGAGGCTTGATCAGTGCCCCAGGAAAACGGGGTGCCCTTCTTCAGGAGGTTTGTGAGCGGGCGTGCAATGGTTGCGAAGTCCTTAACAAAGCATTGGAAATAAGAGCACAGTCTCAGAAAACTGCGAACATCCTTTGTGGACTTCGGGACAGGAAAGTCCGTAACAGCGCAAATTTTCTCAGGATCCGAGCGGACTCCTGCGGCATCGATGCGGTGGCCAAAAACGATTATTCGACGACAAGCGAAGTGGCTTTTCGAAGAGTTCAATCAAAGTCCGGCTCGATGGAAAACGTCAAGAACTGCCGATAAGCGATCAAGATAGGAGTCGAACGTGGGCGAGAAAATGATAACGTCGTCTAAACAACATAAGCACATTGACCATTTGAAACCTTGG